GGCAATGGAGACTAAGGAGAAAATAAACAAATGGGACTACATCAAAATAAAAAGCTTCTGCACAAAGAAACCATCAACAAAACACAAGAAAGCCCACTGCGTGGAAGAACATATTTGCCAATGATATTTCCGATAAGGGGTTAATCTGCAAAATTTACAGAGAACTCATACAACTTAACAAAAGGAAGATAAAGGATCCAATCAAAAAATGGGCAAAGGATCTAAATAGACACTTTTAGAACCGAAACCGGTTTGGCTCAGTGGATAGAGCGTCGGCCTGCGGACTGAAAGGTCCCAGGTTCGATTCCGGTCAAGGGCATCAATGAGATGCCATCTCACACCTGTCAGAATGGCTATCATCAACAAATCAACAAACGACAAGTGCTGGAGAGGATGTGGATCTATCTCTCTCCCTTCCTCTCTGTAAGAATGCAGACTGGTGCAGCCACTGTAAAAGTCAGTATGGAGTTTCCTCAAAAAGTTATAAATGGAACTCCCATTTGACCCAGTAATCCCACTTCTAGGACTATATCCCAAGAAACCAGAAACACCAATCAGAAAGGATATATGTACCCCTATGTTCAGAGCAGCACAATTTACAATAGCTAAGTTTTGGAACAGCCTAAGTGCCCATCAGCAGATGAGTGGATTAAAAAACTTGTACATCTACACAATGGAATACTATGCCGCTATGAAAAAGAAGGAACTTTTACCATTTGCAACAGCATGGATGGAACTGGAGAGCATTATGCTAAGAGAAATAAGCCAGTCGAAGAAAGATAAATATCACATGATCTCACTCATATGTGGGATATAATGATCAACATAATTTGATGAGCAAGAATAGATCCAGAGACAAATGGTAGGGGAGAGGGGGTTAGAGAGCAACCAAAGGACTTGTATGCATGCATATTAGCATAATCAATGAACACAGACACTGGGGCGGTAGGGGCTTGCCCGGGGTGGGAATGGCTTCGGGGGGGGGGGTGTGGGGGAGGGGGGAGTGTCAATTGGGGAAAAACGAGACATATGTAAAACTTTAGGCAATGAGAGAGAGAGAGAGAGAGAGAGAGAGAGAGAGAGAGAGAGAATTTAAAGAAAAACCTAAGTATAATAAAAGAAATAGAAAATGTAAAAAGAACCAAATAAAACTTCTATATATAACCCCCCCCCAAAATAAAATAATATAAAATGTTTTAAAATACTAGTATACTAGTAAAAGTAAGCACAGCTCCATTCCACCAACAACACACAATATGATCAGTGCAACACACTGTCATTTTATTGGGGATAGGTTATGAAGGGGGCATTGAGAGTCACTAGGAATCTGCTTGTATTAAGAGAAGCAGTTATTGGGGCATTCAAGCAAGTGGGCTGGCACATTCTGTTGGCAGGAGGATTCACCATGAGAGAGAAAAGGCCAGAAGGAGACTAACCATAAGGAAGGAAGGCCCAGAAATCCTCCGGTGAAACTAAGGGAGCCAGGAGGCAGCTGTGGGGTCAGCTGGTGGCTACATTGATCATGTGGTTCCCTCTGGTGAGTGTACAGGTAAACATGGAATAGAGAAAAGAGGGTCACGCCATCCTCTCAGTAAAACGTGAGGCGGAGCCCTAACGTTTGGCTCAGTGGATAGAGCGTCGGCCTGGGGACTGAAGGGTCTCAGGTTCGATTCCGGTCAAGGGCATGTGCCTTGGTTGGGGGCACATCCCTAGTGGGGAGTGTGCAGGAGGCAGCTGATCAATGTTTCTCTCTCATCGATGTTTCTAACTCTCTATCCCTCTCCCTTCCTCTCTATAAAAAAATCAATAAAATATATTAAAAACAAACAAAAATTCGAGGCAGAGATGAGCTTCATGTCAGTGCCAGAAGCATCCCGAGCCTTCAGAAAACAAAGGAGAGCCTGTCTAACGGTTTGGGAATGTCAGAGAATATCTCATCAGAGTAACACACCCCAGTCTCTGCAGTCTTAACCCCCAGTCCTTCACAGGCCCAATGCCTCCCCAACTCCATCCCTGCCACTTCA